TTGAAACAATATATAAAAATCAAATGATTGTTTTATAATCCGATAGCCAATAACGTATGATTCTTATGATAGCTATTAGCTAATATCATTGCCGCGTCGTTTGTGGCTAAATACCCGTTCACCTCGTTTATACGCGTTTCCGAAAATCTCCCCTTTCCTCCATTAACATAAAAAACGCAAGAGAATTAATTCAACTTGACCAATTTGAAAATAACTACCATTGTAAAAAACATACCGCAGCATTTGCCTTGACGGCGCGAACGATTACATCAGTCGGATCTCATGAACTTTTCATAAGGCACAGTTCACATAGCATCAAGAGATCTTCATTGACAGCATCTGATATCCTACCCTTCTACATTATTCGGGAAACTTCGACCTTAAGCGCTGCGTTTAGCTTTTAGTCGATTTTAAGGTTAATACGAGTAAGCACTAGATGAAAAATTGCTGGGAAAATCTGTAGAAGAATGTCTTGCACAAAGGGTCCCAATAAACCATCAGAAGTTCCCGCTTCTATTGGAGAACCAGCAGTGGAAATAACTTTTTATACAAGTGACGCAGGTTATTTGTTGAAGATCCATTGCCTCAGACGACTAGAGAAGGTATCAGTGGTAATCTACTCACTATAGAAAAAGGTTGTTAATGATAAATACGAAATAGAAAAATCTGAAACGTCATTTTGGTGATATTCAGCTAGAAAGCTCATCGAGAGCCGAACCGACGTGCGTTATAGTCTGCAACGCGATATGTACCTGCTGCTATTGGGCATCACAACAGGCCACAATATTTATACATAGAATTATCTAAATCACGTACAGTATCTCATTAAGGTCCAATAGTTTTTATCCGGGTGACTCGTCCCTATGTGCCAAAGCCCGAAGATGAAATTTGTTTTGCCTATTGTGTATTTTTATCCATTCCTTTTAGAGCTGCTATTTATCAGACGCATTTAACCAGTGTGTTTAACTTTTTACAGAACACAAAGCTGAAGTCGATTATCATAACTGCCTCATAACTAGTTTTTTTTATTCGTTAGATGGACTACTAGATTACTAGGTTAAAGGTTGACGAATTCGTTTTACTTGTTAATAGGTTCACCTTAAAGGCCCAGAAAGTCTGTCGACCTGATTTCAATCTCAAGCAATTTAATTATTATCGGAGTACTAATAGGCGCGAAATTTGAAATTTATTACAGCATCGCTCCCGGAAGCCTCACCATTTCCACGTAGGGCTTACGGTACAATTGAGTTTTATAATGTGCTCTAATTCCACACGTTTCTTTAATTCTCTGGCAAAAAAACCACTCGTTTTTGTAAGGAAGGCCTTTACATACAACAGCATCGAACCCATATGGTAACGCGAAAATCGGGATGGCTAAGTTAAAAAAAAACTTATCCGATCATAGTATATGCTTGATCATAGCTTCTTTGATGTATTCTGTCTCTAAACAACCGAACACTATGCCGCAGTTGGCATTTGCTAACTGCTTTTTACTATAGGTAATATTATAACGTCTGCTAAAGGTACGTTGCTAAACTCAGTATAAAGTTTCTCTAAAAGAGCAGCAATTTCACGTAACAGTTATTATTTTAATCCGTCCGTAATAGTTCAGCGTTCGTTTATGTCTATCTCACAGCTTGTAGTTAACCAGAATGGTTTTTGCCAACGATGTATAGGATTCATTACGTTACAGCGCCGCAAACGTCGGCATGAAACTATTGGTAAGACCGTGTTAGCAATGACATGATAAAATATATTTCAATCAGGTTTCCTGTTTAGATTAACGTTAGTAGAAATTGAAACTTCGATTACTACGAAATACGAACGTAATTCCAAGTGAAGTAGAGATACCTGCGAATGATTCCGATCCCGAAAGCAATATAAATATAGTGTTTACATTAGAGAAGGAATGCCAAAGCGGTAGCAAAATTACTGACCTTTTCTTATTATAATTAGTTACTTACCTTTTCAATGCTATAGTCGCTTCCATATTTTCTGTGACGAAATTGCTTCCCTTTGCGATCAGTGGTCAGCATTTTTAACGGGACCAGCTTTAGCTTTTGTAGAACTAACGCCAAAAATTTTACATATTAGTTATTTGATGAATCGTGTGTACAATCACTTTCGTTCCCAATAGTCTAGCTCATTTAAACGTAACAACTGGACAACGTAACAACAAACGGAACTGAACGTACGTACAAGTTCCGTCAGGTACTTTCTCGTATAGAGTGGCAGAATGAATAATCACCACGGAAATATCATACGAAGAAAGCTCCAATTTCTAAATTGACTCGCACTTTCAGCTGCTCTCTTACATTACGACCCAAATCATAAACTTTCAGTTGTCTTATCAGTACAGACATTCGACGTAACAATGGCAAGGATCAGATTTGAACAGCTTAGTGTACTGGACAACGGTTCCGTGTTATCAAAACGTATCCTCACCTGACGTAGTTTATTGATTCTAAAATAAATAGAAGGACCACAATCAAAACGACCTCGTTTACTAATCATGCCACTTATCACTACACGGTCTTTATCTGATAAAAATATTTACAAATCTGATCGGATTCGAAGTCCAGATCCGATTGCATGTTCTATTAACTCAGTATGTGTGTTTCTCTCTCAGGTATCATCTCTTAGTATCATAGACAACATGTTCCACTATTAAGCTTGACATTAGGAATGACTGTATGTACGCGGTCAGCCTGTGAAGCTTTGTATTAACTTCAAATTATAATATTTTCCTACTGTGCTATTCTTAATCCCGTTGACTATACGTAGCTTTCCGAATATTTCTATCGGAGATATCGCTAAAGTGCAATAGAGAAGGGCACAGGTCTGTGGTGACTATTTTTCCAGACAACTATACTTAGGCATTTAGCAATTAAACTGAGCATATTTATATAAACGAGTCATATTATATCAATCTAGATTTGTCCTGGATCAGGCTTGACCGCGTTTTATTTTGTATTAGCGGCCAGACGACGGCGCTACGCTTAACACGTAAAACTCAAATAATTTATTTACCGTACCCTAACTTAACTAGTGAGATACAAGCTAAATGATAATCCGTGAAGATAATACTTTTCACGAAGAATAGCTTCATACACATACATATATAACACTTAGCCAAGAATACTATCATACATAACAGATGGCCATTCAACCATATGCGGATCCTTTGCTCGAATTCTAACGGTGTTGTTAATTATTTGAAGCCCCTCCGTCTTTTGCTATTCTTACTGCCACGACCCCCATTGCGTTCGTCGCCCTGATGTACACAGCTATTAGTGGGCGAAATACCCCTATGTAATGACTGAGTCGTCATTTAATCCGGTCGATCAACACCGCCACCTGTCGTCAAATATAATGTTTTTTTAAGGCTAGTCATTATTATCCATAGCTTATGAAAAGGACATGAAAAGTCAACCAAAACGCCGTGTTTTTTTTTTAAATTCGCAATTTAAAAGGTTCGTGGTCAATTTCTATCACGGACTGTCTTTTTTTTTTGTTTTCTAGCTCTCTTATTATAATCGTCATTTTACGTGTTTTATGCCGTTTATCTTTCCTTCTCGAGCTAGCCGTAGCTACTAGCTATCTCACTAATAGCAGTTATCAAAATAATAGCATACAAACGACGAGCTAATCTTGTTTAAGCCTTTTCTTTGGAATTATCAAACCATAGCAGTCCCAATGTAAACATTTCTTTATAGTCTGTGATGCGTCTCATCGCATGAGCGCTTCCACAAGACAGCAACTGACAACAAGACCCCTAATTTATTATCGTGTACGCAAATAAGCGAACTTAGTAAATCAACTATATATATATTTGTTCATGCGAGAGCTGTACTTTATTGTAATGATGAAAGTAACAAAATTTCTCCTACACCGGCTCATGAAAGCATAGCTGGTTTTCGGTAGAGTTCACACGCTAATGCAGTCACCAACTGTAATGACAAGGATGTTGTGTTTGAAGATAAGTCTGCAAAACACCCCCAACGTTAAGCATGTCGGAAGCATACGGTTACATGGATAAAGTTAAACAAATGAGCATGTTTGTCTCGTTTCAACACGATTCCGCCATATTACCACTAGGTGACCTCTGCTCTGTGAATAGGGTAAAGATTGTCGCACTCGTTTGACTAAGTCAAGTAGGAAATTCACACGCTTAACTTTGTCGCGGGCCTTTCATTGACAGATATGCACAGGGTTATTACTTGAAAAAAATGTTTCATATAATCGGACATATCTGTCTATCTAGAGAGATTTGTGCATAAATGCTAGATACGTTTCTTTCGGACTGGCATAAATAAGGTTCTGAATGGTCAATACAAGTCTTGAGCATTAAGTGACATGACACTGACTGAGCCAATATGCTTGACGTTATCAGTAGTGAAACAATGTTTCAAGGGTTAATAGAGGCCATTGCAAACGAAATCGAGTGTTTCTCAGATTATCTCAATAGAGCACATATTAAACAGGCAGTAGTCCTAGCGACTTACTTTATGGCATATACCTAAGGAATGCTACATAAAATTGCACGTACAACGGTATTGCACGGGTACCCTTAATATTAACAGCCGGTTCTGCAAATTGAACTCTTAACACACACAGTAATCTGTTACTTACGCCACCTTTTGCAGTGTATGGATAGATGCCTGTCGCTGTGGGACCCATATCGGTACGATATTGCCTCCATCCTACAAAGCGCAGGGTTACGTTAAGCGCTACTGTAGCGCTACTGTAGCAACCGCAAAACAATGGGAAGTTCGTCTGCTAATAGTTCCGTGGACGATAATGAATAGAAATAGCAGTTGCCTTTTTCGGATAACTTGAAACGCTTCAGGGGATTAATTAACTTATGTGTAGGAAAAATTTAGTAGCTAGATATGTGTATGTTAATAGATATGTGGTTGCTTGTATTTAAAGCAGCATTAGACAATTGTTTATTACTCGTGATGATAATACTTACGATCTCCTTTACTTTGTACTTCCAGCCACGTCCAAGGAGTCTATCGAGATTCGCCGGAACAATTCATTGTAAGTAGAACAACCACTCGGCTCTTACAGATGCTTGATACACTAACCTAACGTAAAAAACGGTAATTATTTCCATTCAACGATAACGTTTGTTCTGATCTAACGGCAGTTATTTTGGCTGTTAATTCAAGCCGATATTACGAAAAATGACTAACGAGATATTCAAGTAAAAGCTAGGTATATTTATTTACCAATGGCGTCTTGGCAATTAAAAGATTATAAAGATTACTTCCATTCAGCCCAGGGAATATTCGACTGCTGGATGCGTCACTAATGTCAGTAGCCTTCGAAAATGAGCGAACATTAATGTTTTCTCTTTAATTGGACCATGATTATTTGGTAATTGGCCACGTTTACATCGTGACTATATATACCTGGTTCAACTTCGAATTTATCGCCGAAAGTCTCCCCGTGAAAATAGATTCCGGCAACTCTTTGTGGTTCATTAGTTTAGCTGAGAAGTAAGGAAAAGAAATATATACGTTTCAGCTGCCGAGGCTAAAAATGAAACAAAGGATCGAGCCTCTCTCTCAACTGGCGAGACCTATCCACAACTACGATTTTGACTTTATTCGTTTTTTAATAACGTCTACCGCAAATATCTTTCGTAAAGCAGATGGTCTTATAATTTGTAGTTTGGGCGCATTTGCTACACGGGAGTACTTAATTTGCGCCCGTGCTCACGGTTCATGTAAGATTGATGGACCCAAATAGAAAAAGATTGATTGATCGATGTAACCAAGCAAGTTTCATGAAAGCAAACGTGATAATTTGTAAATTTAGATTATTTCGATTTTGAATACCGCACTAAACAACCTAATCCTTCGATGTCTTCGTCAAGGTTTTGCGTCTCGTCAACAATACGACACCTAAAATCATCACAAGAGTGTAATAGCGATGATTAGAGCCATCATATATAACCTCGTGCAATGTAGTTTGACGCAAATTAGCTTCATTAGTAATTCAGCTCGAGAAGACTTACTTTCTTAAATGTTTTTACATTGTAATCAAAGGTATTATAGCCTTGCAGATTTATACTGTCAATAAAGCATCTTCAGGAACCTTTAAAGGGTCTTACACGAGTAACCGTCTCTCCACCAACAATGTCTTGGCTTTCGCTTCATTTTTTGGGAATAGGCCCTTGCAATAAAGGATGTAGTTAATATTAATGGGCTATTCTTCTAGCGTATGATGCACCGCATGGCTTACTGATTTCCCGATAGCTCTACTCAAGCAGCTAGAATCTAACAGATGCTTGCACATAAACTCTGTTTACGTGCATTTACGTATGAATCCAAAAAGAAGAAGAATTACTCTGTTATTTAGGTTCATTTCACGCTAAAAGGTTCCAACTGATGCGCATACCCAGCCTGCGCCACACTTAGCGTATTTGGTTACGCTCATCAAAGACGTTGTTGTTCAAAAGAAAGGCAATGTATCGCAAGTACCGATAGATGTCTAACGTTTCGATGCTCATTGCGAAAGTACTATCATCTTCTTGAAGAAATTTCAATGAATAAAAGTTTAATGTGTGAATCTATTTGAAATATGACGTCTCCGTGCCGACTATAGCATCAGCTGGCACCGCGAAGTTAGATATCTGCATAGTATCAATAGTTAGCGTTCTATAAATATATTTATGTCGTCGTACTGTGGGGAGTTTGACAATGGGCATTTGAGAACTTTCTTTAGACTCAGATAATTCTTTCCGTAAAATATTTAAAATCGCTAACGATGTCTATCCACTCTTCTGTTAGACAATGACACCCGTTCCTAATTTTAGTTTTCTTTGTGTCTGCCGATCCGTCAATATCTAAGGAAGAAAAAAAGCACGACGCTCTCGGTTTTCGGTCTCGGCTTCAAGCCGAACTTTCAGACCCAACCGTTGTTAGCATCAGTGAGCTCACTCAATTTGAACTAGACCAATTCAGTCTCGTAGTTATATTTGTGTTTGCCACTAGCAGCAATTGCTCAGTGAACACTTAGATTCTGTGTACTTATACTTTTTCCATCTATTCAGACGAATAGAAGCCGCAGTGATCATCTATGAGAGAGCTCACCTACAATTTGACAGATACATTAAAAGACGAAACGTTTATGTTGTCATCAAAGCAAACTGATTAAAAAATGCGGCCTTAAAAAAACATGCTTTGCCTCTAACGGTAGTATGGAGCCCCATTAATAATTACTTCGGTCATATCGGTGTGGCCTAGGCTTAACTGTGATCTTGGTAGCCTCTATGCTGGCAATGACTTCCTGGCCTTATCAGGAAGTATTGTCGAATTCTCGAAACGTTCTTACTCTGTCTATTGCAGCAGATTGTAGACATTCTATGATCTTATGTAAATGGATCTTTGAAAATAAGCAAACAAATTCAGCCCCGCATCACATGTATCTATTGCGTTATGTTTTCGGTATACATGAGGTGATCTATTATACGCAATTATTTCCTGCAGCCAATAAAATACTTGGTATTTATATCGATTATCGTAATGACTGGATTCAATTAAGTTACTATGTGTTCGGAGAGCCAAATATCTAAAGGCTCTAATTACAAAACTGAAAGTAACTATTTTATCCGTTTAGATATTTGTGCCTGTATATACGAACTTTATTTAATTCTTTCAAATAATTCTGTATTTAACTGTCCGTTAGGCAATGCGTTTTGTTATTTTAACGCATTCTATTTATCATAGCTTTCCGAAGCAAAAACGTGGTCGTAATCAGTCACTACCGCCCGCAAAGACGGCTATGACAGTGATCACTTGGCTAAATGTATCAGTCTTTCGCGTATTCGAGGACAAATTTCGTATTTTATTACCATCATTATTTCTTGTTTTCCTCGTTACTGTAAAAGAAAAATGATTGTGTTCGGAAAAACTGCACGTTTAGTCTATATATGTTTTATTTTGTTTTTTTTTTTCTTGTTAAAACAGTTCCTGACTCAAAATGTCTCTCACTGAAGCCTTCCAAACAGGTCCAGTTTGGGCGGCATCTATTTGTTTTGTAATGCTTAGTACGAAAAAAGTCTGGTTAGTTGAAATCGAGCAATGCCCTAATCGAAGCGTATCTTGGTAAGTAGCTACATCTATATCAAAAAGACTGGCCAACGTAATCGTAAAGAACGGTTTGTTAAGTTATGTTGGCTCAACTTGATTTCCGAATCACAGAAAAAAAGCACGCGGACCTGGCTTACCTAATAGTCTAGTCATTTCATATGAATAGTCGGTTGCAAAAAATTGAGAGTTAAGTTCATGTAGTCAGCCATTTCAAGACGTAGATTTTTTTGTACTTTTAAAATTTTACAAAGCGCATTTAGCTCTTACGAACGATGATTAATGCCTATTGACATCGAATATCACCCACAATCGTGGGCAGCTTCGCTGGCGTGTGTGACAGTGAATTGAAGACAATTGTCCTGGTCTCGTGATTGTGACAGCTACTGTGGGCCTAGGCACGACGAAGGCACATTGTTAAGGACAGGGCGTGTTCGTCTAGTTCCGTCGCGGCACCTATCGATGCAGAACCTCATATTTGACGTGACACTGTGCCATATGCCTCTGCGGGTTTAAACCCCGAATACCTCTATGTTTCAAGTTCTACTTTGCGTTCCAGCAGACGGCTGGCTCCCAGCACGGAACGAAATCTGTCTGCACCCGGGTTCGAACCTAGACCAGAACCTAGATCCCTTTGATAGCTTAGTGGTTAATGTATTCATCTGTTAATCTACGTTACACATTGTTAGCTGGGTTCGAACCGGCGCATAGACACAGTTCGTTTGGTGCTGAACGCCAGCCGTCTGATGGATTACCTAACGGCAATACCGGACGTAAGACTTGACGCGTAGGAACTTCAGAAACCTGGGGCATGCTGCTTATTCCATCGAACAGTAGCTAGACTGGTGAATCGTACTTGTGTTGTTCAAAATAGATTCACTAGGGACGCTTCAACCCTCTTTCGTTGTTGGTTACCAATAATGTCATTGGGACGCACTTACATAAACTGTCAGACCAACACCAAGTTAATGGCAACCCAGCTTTCAACTTCAGTCGGACCATCCATAGTGTAGGACCATAGTCATTCATTTCCGTCGGTTAATATTGCAAGCTATAGTAATTGCATTTGCTCGTTTCTGCCTGAACTTTTCGCTTCATGTTCCTGTCAACCATAGATTCAACAAAATAAGCTATTATCCGAATTGTCATGTGTAATAAATGTACAACGATGTTAAATTTATAACAAGAAACGGTCGATGAAAACTCGACCCCACCCATGACTTCAATTTTTGTTTATTCATTCCCAGTTCAATGATAATGATGTACTGAAAGCTAGCGGGTTCTCCAATGCCTTTAAATAAAATTCACGTTATGGTCCTTCGTATACAGGAACCCCGTAACTCGTTAAATCGTCCTCTGGTAACTCACCGTGTGTGTGAAGGCAACCGAAGGAAAATTATGTAAATTTCGCTAAACCCTCAAGCTCGGAATAATTGGTCGTGTTGACCGCGGCTAAAGACGAGCATGAAGTTCCTTTTTTCAATCAGAAGATTTTGCCTCTACCGGCCGTAACAGTTCTCGGATCAACGATTAGCTACTAAGCTTTTCCGTGGGGCCACTGAGACTCACCGTAGCGGTATTACCTTATGCTTTATTATAAAATTAAGCCAACTGTTCGATAGTCAATTGGGTCGTACTATCACAAATAAAAAGAACGCATTGTTTCTGAGAAAAGTTAGCTCGACTTGCTGAAATGTATTATCACCTCATAATAGGGGTCAATTTGATTTAATTTGGTATTTGTCTAATTCTTGTTACCCCAGTGACCCCTGTAATGACTTTGCCGGTTGCCCGGGTTATAAGTGCCCGACAGCTTAGATGAACAACTGAATAGTAAGACGTCGTGGGTGGCCAGGGCTAATCGGTATCCGATGGAGAAATTCGTGCGAACTTTAAGCAGCTTTTCGCTATTCAAACCGCGATAACAAAGCAACGTACTGAAAC